TTGATTTGCTGCTGGTAGGACTACCCCACAGGGCTGCAAAAACATAAACAAACACCACTAATCAATCCTCTTTATGATATTTAATGTGTTACATAAAAGGTGTATCACCAAATGTGTGCCTTGCATAAAGTGGCTGATACCCGACTTTAGTGTACATTTAGCATGCATGAAGTGAGTTAGTTTTCAGAAGCGACTGAGCGCATTACTGCGGATCTAGGTGTTGGAATTGCACACCGTCCCAAAGCTACCGTGCGCAATAAGGTCATGAAAATCAAACACCAGTTAAAGCCTGAAGATCAATCTGGAGTAGTGTATCGCATTCCGTGTCAAAATTGTCCATGTAACTACACAGGACAGACTGGACGCATGCTCGGATCTCGCATACACGAACATAAGCTGGATGTGCGACGAGGCGACGCATTATCACAAATGGCCGCTCACACCTACGAACTGGGTCACGAGTTTAACTTCGCTGCCATCAAAATAGTCGCCCACGCTGGAAACAAAACAGGCCGAGAATTGATCGAAACCTGGGCCTCGGATGAGAACTCGGTCAGTCGATTTATCGATCTGGCGCCGGCTTGCAGAGTCATGCGTAGTCACCTCCAGTCTTGCGCCGTCGGTCGATGATTGGCCTGCATGCCTTATACCTGTCGCTTGTTCTGGTGCTGCTGCTGTTGCTACCTCTGACGATGGACTCCTGTACGAGTCTGAAAGCTCAGGACAAAAAAACACACTGCTCCGGTGCTCGACTCTTCTTCTTCACTTAATGCTTTTCGTTCCCATGCACACAGAGCAGTTCGATCGTCGCAAGTGTAGGCCTGCATCGTACGCCTCGCAGTGCGGATACGGCAGCGGTGACTTACACCGCGCCTGCCGCACGCTTTCCTCTTCCTACATCTCTCTCTCACACACACTCTCACCTGTCTTCGATGGCAACAGAGTGTCAACAGGACCGAAGGCGGGTGCGGGTGCAGGTACGGAATTTAAAGGCGCCCGGCGTGCCTGCATAGCACCAACACTGTCGGACCTCCATCGCAACGCCCTCCCCCCTCCCTAGCACCCTGCTCGTATTGCTTATTCGGCGAAGACGTTTGACCAGTGAGGCAAGATTTGACGTAAGCGTAAACTGCGCATTTCCTCCCGAACGTGAAAATGATAACCAGCTCACCCGATCTGCGCTTGCGTGTGTGTGAAAAGGCAACCGGAGGGCTCATGACAGCACTTTCTGCCCCATTAGTCCTTGGGGAATGAGGAAAGAAGCATAAAGGAAACTATTTAATGTGCAGCGGCCTCATCACTGGTTTCGTTACATTGGAGCACACTCGAGAAGTTGTGACTGGCTAGGGATGGGGTATGACGTATTTTTCCTGAATATGATTTCGGAATTTTTGCGTAAACTGGTAGTGATTTCGGCTTGAGAGAACAAAAGGTGTTAACATTCGGCGCGAAACAGGGTTTTATCATAAAATGTTTAAATATAATTCGAGGAAATACGAATAGTTAAATTATAACCATGAGACGGCCTTGAAATAAGAATACGACACGGTGTAAAATGTTGATCTGTGTTCAGGCTGACCAACGAGATGGCAACAACCCGATGAGTAGTATGCACAAACTAACTGACGTCGGCTATTTTTCGCCTTTCACGAATGCCTACACAAATACAGCTGACGAATTTTTTTGCGGGACGAGGTTTCGACAATTTTTTCAGTAGAAAGGTCGGAGATGCCTGAGGAAATCGAAAACCATGGTGAGTTGCAGGTCGCGGAAAGTACTCTACGAGGAAGGAAGCCGAAAGTGAAACTTCCCAAGGCGGTTTGAACATAGCCATTCCCTGATTGATGCGTCTTCAGGAGAAAGGCTGAGAAAACTCTGTTCCATGGCTTATTATGGCTCTCTCGACTTTCTTTACCCTCATTCGTTTCTGTCAGTTAGGCCTTCCTTCTTCTGCGTGTAATACTTTTGTTGTTGGCTCAAAACAGGAAGACATTCAGAGGCAGGACCAACTTAGAAATAAATGAGACAAAACTGGTACATTAAAAGTACTAGAAGAAACTTAAAAGTAAAAACATCTGCAAATAATCTCGGGTGCCACCTTTACTAGCTGATTTACTGATACCTCGCGTTGACGGACCCAGTGGATTCCTGGAGGTGATTTCAGGGGGCACAGGTGTCCCAGTAACAGTCCAGTCCTTGGATAACCCCGGTAAAAAATACAATCGCGTCTATGATACCATTTAAAGAAACTATGAAGGTTGAATGGAAAAGGTTTCGAGAAAAGCCTCCTTCACCTTAACTCTCTGCTACTGCTACAAGGTTGTTCTAGAATGAGGCGGAGTTTCGAAACCATCACGGGCGTCTAAACCGACCCCTAGATAGCATACCAAATGACAGCTAATCTGTCTTTCCATCATATTTGCTCCTGTTGGCTCAACCGCAAATCCACATCTACTCCGCATCTCGATTCCTCATACTGAGTGTATTTAACTTAATACCCTTCTAGATTTCTTTTGCCATCATCTTTTTGCTAGTTTAACAGTCTTTTCATGTTATTAATACGTGCGAAATGGCGAGGTCCAGTTAACGACCAAGATTGTTTATACTTCTGCTAGCCCTGCGTGTCTCCCCTACTCTGACAATGGGCTCGAGAATAAATTCAAGACTACCTCAAACAACCCCGGTGTAGTTTTCTGCAGTCCTCACGTACTTAAGTTTTTGCTGTTCAGTTTGCAACTTCGCTCAGCGAGAAGCAGTAGAGCTATCGAAATTGTAGATGCACAACACCCATTGATGCATGATACTTTCGGTAAAAAACATAAAATAGTATTCTGATAAACTTATAACCACCGTCACAGGACTAGTCAGAATGTCAATTGCCAGTGTAATGGCTTCAGTAGTATCGAGCTTTCATACCGGCCATCGGGCCCATGTGCGGAAGTAAACAGACGTTCATAAGACAGGTAGGTTAAATTAGCCTGGCGGCAGATATGGACGTCACCGGCGAACGAGCGGTTTTCTGGAGTTATCTCGTCTCACCCATCCAGCATTTTAGAATTTTCCACTGGACAGATAGACTCCGCTTTCAATCCACGGTAAATGTCCTAACAAAAAGTAGTTATAGCGTTCTTTGCCCCATTTTCGTTCTTTAAAGACGAAATTACTCGTCATAATTTGAGTTGCCTACCTAGACCAACACGAACCGTCTGACGCAATAAAAAAACAAATCTGGTTTGTTGGACGTTTCGGTCCTTCCTAATATTGCAAAAACTCCGACTCATGGGAAAAAACAGGAATCATTTCATTCAGTTATAACTGAAATCCAGGAACTAGGTTATATGGCTCTCCTTGCAAAACACAATGTCCAGGCTGGGTCACCCGGATTGGACTGTCCCGTGTGACATTCATCCGAGGTCCGTAACAGATATTTCTACCATCGCAAGCGACAATGCCCGGCCACGCAGGCGTGAGCAGAACCGGTTACTTAACTGTGAGACAGTTCTTTTTAAGGCAGACTTCGGCAGCACTTAGCCCGCTATCTGTTCCCTCACTAACCCTGCTCCGAAGGCGCGACAAAGTCAAGAATGCAGGAGGGTGTTCGTTGGCGCAGTGACTGACAGGATCAAACAGCCCGTCTACGCGTGCCACTCACATGATCTGGTCCTGGTTCTGGGTGTAGCGGACCGCAACAGGGAGGACTCGAATTTCGCACAGGCGATAATGTCGTAAAGACTATAGTCTGTGCCCCTGTCCCGAGAAGAAATGTGTTATCACGTCAGCTGGCCGCCTCCTTCCATGTCACGACTTTTCGCGCGTCGTAATAGATTCAGGGGCCTCAAATTTACAATAATAATAATAATAATGAGTGCTCTGATTTGCCTCGGGTATGGAATTCCCACTTTTGGCCTCACTCTCTCCGCAATGGATACACTAAGAACGGTGGTGTCTTTCCAAAAAAATCTTTCGGTGAAGGAGGCCTTACGTACTCGAAACAATTTTACTCTACGATCTCTCACGCAGGGGTTTATATGAATTCACTAACTCGTTAGTGTTGGTCACCTAAAAATAATCAGTAAATTTACTCCTACAAATTATAGCAGGCCAAAAGAATAACCTTTTAATAGGTCCTACAATAACATCCATCCTTCGGACCGCATGCAATGATTCTTTCGGCGCGGTAAATGCCTAATCCTCGAACAGAATTTGAAGGTCAGCCAGTGTTTCATCGGTCTGTAGTAGTCATTCGTGGAAAGAGGAAACTTGGGCCCAAAAATGTGATGGCAGAGAATAATCTGGAAAGCAGGCAGTCGAATTCCGTTAACGGATTTCAGATGCTTGCAAATCACCCAATATCAAACCGAATGTGAATAATTCAGTAATGTTCTAAGTCTGGTACACCATACGCATCATTAAACATTCTATTCACAAGGTTATGCAAACAAATCAATCCAAGAGCATATCGAGTATAAGGACAATGTTGCCCACCCCATTATCACAAATAACTGCTAGGCATAGTCAAAATATGGATTTCGAACGAAATGGATCAATGACCTAAAGCCTTTCTGTGACTTGCGTATATTTACTGCAGTAATTTGTTAGTCCTGTCGAAAAAGTGTAACGGTTCTCGAAAGCAACGTTAATGTTTAAGTTTCTGTCTCTTTAACGCGTAAACCATCTAGTATTTAGGATATCTTGCCTTCAAACCTGAGTGAAATGAGCCTATGTGTCGTTAGACTTCCGCTCAAAGAGGCTTGACCTCGAGTTTTTTAGAGCTGCAACTTTGTGTCCTTATCGATCGACGTTCACCTTAAACTCTGCTAGCCGCATCTTGCGTATTTCGTGTGCTTCACAAACCCCAACGGAAACCTTGATAAGCCGGCTTTGCACTGCCTGTTTTACAGCGAGCGTCAGTATAAAAATGCTGCAAATTCTGTGAATCAGACGTACTCCATATACGGGTCCAATAGCAGAAACGAGCTATTGCGAATAAAATTTATTTACTACAGAGCCCCGTGATGTTCATTTTTGTACGCCCTCATGAAAGAAAAAATGTTTGACGAGACTATCGGCAGGCCATAACCACGACTGGTGTTGTCTGAAGAAACACAGCAGGACTGTAGGCAGCCACGGAAGGAGGCTAGTGAGCTGCTGCCCAGATCATCGCCCGCCTCCGCGGCTGACAGCAGCCAATCATGTCGCAGGAGCTCCGCGGCTGAGAACCGCTGCACGGGATCTGGCTGCAGCACGCACAGGAGCCAGTGGCGTGCACAAAATCCCACATGGTCTGCCATCGCGCGACTCACAAGTTTCGGCGTCCGCCGATCAACCTCCTGCAGGGGCTTCCTCTCCATCTGCAGGCAGTAGGGAAAATCTTTGCAGAGGAGTTGGTAGGCGATGATGCCCAGACTCCAGACATCGCATTGTCGAGTGTAGCTCCTGCCTGACAACACCTCCGGGGCCATGTAGAGCGGGGTGCCACAGAGACCGACAAGAGGCTCCTTCGTTCCCTCCAGCTCCACTGCCATGCCGAAATCTACGAGTTTAATCTTAAGATTGGAGACATCGCCGCCGCCGTTGGGCGAGTCCTCGCACTCGGTAGAGAGGTCGGTGGTGTCACAGCTCTTGGAGTACATCTTTGGTAGACGAGACTTTGCAGGCGCCTGTCTGTGTTGTCTCCGACTTGGACGAGCTGTCTTGTGTGAGTGCGGTAGTTTGGTTGGTGTCGGAACGAAAGCGCAACTGTCCTGCTTGGTGGGCGGTCGGGTTAACCTCTCGAGGGTTGCATTGTGTACAAGCAGAACGTTGTCCGGTTTGACATCACGATGGACGATGGACCGATTGTGGAGGTAAACCAGAGCAGAAGTGAGTTGACGCACAATTTCCTGCACCGTGTATTCCTTAAAACCCAGATCAGATTCGGTGAGAGAGTTCAGGTGACTTGACAGGGAGCCTCCCTCACAAATTTCGGTGATCATCAGGTAATGCTGGGGGGTCTCCAGGATACCATGTAGGCGCACAATGCCAGGGTGCCGCACAGAGGCGAGAATGCTGATTTCAGAGCCCCACTTGTGTCGACTAGACCGGCCAATCAATCCATGGCGGGGGATCTGTATACAAGTTGAAAGAATACTATTTCAGACTAGGGAAAATAAAAGCCTCCATGTAAAAATGGCCTTAAAATCAAGCCTTTATTTAACCCTCAAGCAGTTCCTCGTGATAAGCTAAGGCAGCCAGATGAAACGAAATCAATAGACTAGTAAGACGTGGGAGTATATGGGCGGGGAGCAAACAAATGAAAACAAAGAAAAACGAGACAGATTGTGCGGTATTGATATGGGAGCCAGTTTGTCCTTTCCCTACGCCTATAGGAGCAATTTGCACCGTAAAATCGTCCATATTCCATCCTGTAGTCAGTATGTAGACTGTGGGATTACGTCTATGTAACTGAATATTCTTAACCTCAGTTGAAATAAGGCCGTGGGGCTAGGCTAGGAGTCTCGCTCGACGATCAACTTACTCTGATCTGAACTTCGGACGCGCCAGCACCCGGAGTTGTGGTGTTGCTAACGCCTATTCTGGTGTCATTGTCGTTGTATGTAACATTTGAGTCTGTATTTGCTTCCTCCCTCCAGCACTAGTTTGTCTTTATGACGGAACTATTTCCATTGGAAGAGACAGAGCATCATAAACCCTGTTTTTTAAAATATGACGTGATGCCAATGAGAACCAGCCTTAATACGCAATCACTGCATTAGCAGTTTTATTATGTATACTGGTCCCAGTGCCAGGCGGTAGATGCGCTGGATTATTTCGGGACCAAATCGGAGTCCGGCAGGCGTTATTCGGGGTGCGGTGGCAGGCCTAGGTGCAAACTCACGTCGCGCCATTTGGAATCCCTGCCGCGTCCTATTTTTGATGTATAAAATCCTAGTTAAGTGCTTGCAGGGGACTAGGGGACGTGGTGGTAGTCTAGAGGCGGGTTTTCACCGTGCCAGCTACCTCCGGCCTCCCTCAACCCCAGTGTTCCTGACTTGGTCATTACATCGGGTGCAGGTGGGGAGGGAGGGGAGAGTGTAGTAGATGCTGCGCAAGCCTACCCCCGCCACAAACTAATCCACGAGTAAGTCACCGTCTCTGCACACCGTTGACATCGTTGGAATCGACGGTCGAATTTTCGACACCGGTCCCTCGCGTGGGCTGGTATAAGAGTCAGTCGCGGAAAATCAATCTCAGAGGCAACTAAAAACCATGTCAAAAATAGTGTGTCTGGCTGTTTAAGCACTTCCGTTCTCGCTGCTTAAAATGGTCAAGCTGAAAGATGTTCCGCGGCAGTGTGAAAACGTGGCTAAATGTCATCGAGGTGATGTGTGAGACACTATTGCTCATTTCTGGAATGTCAGCGTCGTCAACTAACTAAACGGCAGGCTATTATGACCCGAAAATTGAGACCGGCTGTTTGATGATCAATTTGTCCTACATTTAACCGGCTTACAGCGTTCGCCGTTAGTCGCATGAAGGTCAAAAATCGTTAATATGGAAATATAGTCAACACGACAGAGAAGACTACCATGAACAACTCTGGTTTGACCGCCAGCCATGTCTCAAGCAGGCAAGATCTGAGGCCCGGGTCCCTATAATGCCTTCGATCGCAGTTCAGTTAAAATGAAATGCCTCATTCCATCCTGAACCAGGCCAGCTATGTGCAGATCACTCCTATGAGACCTCGATAAAATATTAACTTCTGAATTTGCATTGGTGAGACAAAATCTAGCCTTTCAATTCATTTTGGATAGACAGCGCTATCATTAAAGCTTAAGGACAAGTGCCGTGATGTTAACGGACGGGACTCATTTTGGTCTACGGAAGCTCAGCGCGTCCCGATCACTATCCGATATGCTCTACTTACTGCCTGGGGGTATTTTCTGTGGTTTTGCTGTAATTTTTTATAGTAATTTAAAATATACATTTACAAAGAAGCTTATTTTAGAAATACAATCAACGTTGGTTCTATCGTGCATATCAAACAGAAACGACACCTTAAGCAATCTCTCACATGAAACACATTTAGTAATATTTGAATTGCGGTTAGACAGGACAATTCTTCAAAAGCCTGAAAATAAAATCAGTGACCAATCACATAAAAGGTTAATCGAAATTTTGAAAAGCGTTTTTGATTAAGGATAATTACTACATTCAAGATGTTATGTATATGTGTATATTATTGCGACTGCAGAAAGCACACTTGACAAGAATGGCTGCTTAGTTGTTGTGCGTTTTTTATTGATCTTCGACGCCCTTGTATATTTGGATATATTTTACGGAAAACAAACACAAAGTACTCTCTCCCATACGCTTTGGATAGAAGCTCTTGTCTTCTTTGTACTCTACACTCAAACATGATGCATGCTTTGGTTTATAAAAGTTTCTAATTATAAGAATTTTTAAAGCTGTGCAATGTTTACGCAAATGGTATCGTATCAATCCATTTACAATTGGACGTTATAAAGTGTACAATGTAGTCCTCAATTATTGCGGAATTTTAGAAGCCATATATGAAACCTTAATGACACATAGTTGCGTTTGATGTTCCGAGCATGCTGAGAACAAAGTTTGTAGACTGTAAACTGTAAACGCAAATACAATACCAGATAAGATCCAAAAGTATTCGAGAATCAAAAAACTTCGCTGCAATAAAGATTGATCAGCCCAACGTGAAAAACGGAGAAGGCGTGATATTCTACCAAACAATTGCGGGAAAGTATCTTTTGTGTTTGGTTTCTGAAAAGTATATTTGAGGATATAAGAGCACTAAAATCAAAAGAAATACACATTATTTTAGCAGCATTTCCTGTTGAGCATAGTTTTTACGGGCGGACAAAAAGAAGCGCATTCTAAAGCCAGCATCTTCGCCTGTCGTAAATATCTTAGATAACACATGTTACAGCCTTAATCAATCCTCTTTAATTGAAAATACATTTCAGAATGCTAAATAGCATTCTATGTGATCGGTCACTTAGCGTAATCTATTGCAATAGGTTATGAAGTAAAAGAGCGTTTACTAGTAAAACGAAAACAATGATCTAAAAGGGTATCCTTGACTGTGAAACGAGGTTTTAAAGACAAAACACTGTAGTTGCGTAAGTCCACTAGTCAAAATATCAATCGAATTCGGCTGACTTACTAAGAAGATCAAACTGATGAAAGTCAAAAAGGGGCGAGAAATCGGGTTTGTATACTTTTTGTCATCCAAAACATAAACACAGATATCAGAACAATTAAGGCAACACTCAATTGAGTTCGAGAGATAAATCCGTTCTTTCCGACCCGAAGTGTGGTTCTGATTGCTTTTGGACAGCAGAAATAACTGTTTGAGTCGCCTCTGTATTCGTCAAAATAGGTTCTAATCACTGAGTGCTTGTCAATACTCGACATATTGTGGGGACTCAAGGTTAAATTAGCAGTGAAAACCCATGTTTGGTCCCATAATCAGCCTCGAGCCTTGGGCATCCTTCTCTTAAGATCTACTTTTATCGCAACTCTGATTTACTTACGGCTCTAGCAATACCGCGTTGTATTAAAAAGGTCAAAAGACTTGAATGCACTTAGCAGACCAGCTATTTTTCAATTAAACGTGTCGGCTCTAGTCGTCGTGATACGAGTTATGCTAAGTTGGAATATCGTGCGACGAAACATAGAACAGGCAACAACTACCAGTAAACTGCATGTGCTGTGAAGATTTTTAGTCTTTCGTCACAGGAAAGCATCATTATTGCAAAGCAAAGGGGATGGATATTCATCCTGATAATTAATGCAGGAAAAGTTCTTCAATCCCTAGTCTGCGTGGGTTTCATTGAGTTTGGTTAACGAATTCAGAACGTCTTTGTAGCAAAAACCGTTGGCGGGAAGTGTATGCTTGGCAGATATACCGAATTTTATTTGTAGATCAAAGTGAGGCAGTCAACGAATTTGAACACATTCTCTCATGACAGTCCTTTACGGCTTATAACAGGTCTCATTATCAACACGCATGGTTCATGTGTTCGTCAATTAGCCATTTGCGTTTATTAGTAGGAAGCACATACAGGGAAAACCGGGGAATCCAAAAGACACTTATGCTTTGTACAGAATTGCAGAGAAGTTCTAAGCCAGAGTCAAGTAAAAGCCAAAGTTAAAGTTGCGCCTGACTTGATTACCATTTGATTTCGGCCACTGCAAAACCTGCAGATTATATGAAAATCATGAATCATTCTCAATAGCACGCGCATATGGGGAATCATATGCGCCAACTTTTTCTACGACTTTATTGTTATAATACCGCACTGACCGGGTGTTAACCTAGTTTATCCTTTGTGAACCGCATGAAGGTGTAGAAACCTGCCGCTTTTTATAAAAAGCGATATACCGTCGACGCGTCGACCGTAAAAAGCGTTTTAGAAACAAAATGTTTGTTTTAGAGCGCTAACAGAATTGCACGCATATATTTATGCTTTTTAAATGGACAAAAAAACCTATTGTTGGTGTATCCTTCTATTATAGCAGCTCTCTGCTTTCATTAAGATGTCTGCACCAACCTTTCCATAAAGTTGCAAATTTACTGCTAAACGATTTCAGACGTAGATAAAGCTATTCTTAAATTTCAGCACAGTCGTACTGTCGCATTTGAGACACGTCTGTAACTTCGAAAAACAGCAAATGCCGGATAAACATCGACTACCTTTTTAATGCAGCACTTTGAACTGCTTCCCCTTTGAACGGCTTCATGAACAATTCCAAAACTACCGCGTCCGATGCATCTACCAGGGATAAAAAAGTTTGATATTTCTTCGTCTTTGTCGACTTTAAAAAGTTTTATTTCCTCCTTTGCCTTGTACATCCCTCAAAAATAGGTTACTTGAAAATATATTACGGCGCCTTCTGAAGGTCATCTCTGAGTCATCCAAAGTTAGCTCACTTCAAGGTTGAACCATCCCGCAGAAGGGAGACTGGACCATATTGTTTTTATTTAGTATTTTTCTACTCCAGTCGTTTTGAAGCCGCTAGTTTTTTAATCGAACTTTAGGTAAGTACTGTGGATAGGAGCGAAAAGGTCCATGAGGAGACCTCCGCGGCTCAGAAAGTCGGAAAGAAAACAGAATAATAGTAGCTACTTTAGTATTGTTACGTCTTTACTAAACGTGTTATTCGTTGATCTGTCGCACTTTTGTGTGTCTATGCTACACTGTCTATGATCACACTACCTACTGCAATACAGGATTCCCACAAGGAGGACTTACGAATAAGTGGTAATACCGAGGACGTCTACGCGGAGTGTAACATTGGAGGTGAAGCGAAACGACAACCACGACAACTGGGCATTATGAAATAAAAAATTAAGATCGGAAAGCGCGCAGGAAGGTTGGGCAACGACGCCACCCCTTTTTCAAAATACCAACGGAGATAGGATAGTAGAAGTACCTCCGAAGAATGCCCTATGTAAACCTTTAATAGCTCTGGATAATAAAGGATTCGCGAATATTCCGTTGTCTTTTCAGTATGATTTATAATTCAATATATAAAAAGATTATGGCAGAACCTTGGCAAAGCCTTTTTACAGATAAACGGACGTAAAGCATGCACTTATTTATATAACCGTTATGCCGGTCACTGATATAGAGTAAATATTTGACCACCAAGCAAAAATTTATAAAGCCTTTCTTGA